AAATATTATATAAAAAATATATAAAAAAATTTAATAATATAAATAAAATGTTATATTTAAAAAAAGAATAATAATTGATTGAAAAAAATATAATAAGTAATTTAGAAATATTAAAAAATAAAAAATAAAAAAATATAAAATAAGTAAAATAATTGTAGTAGAATATTGATTATTAAAAATATTATGTTAATATAGAAAAAAATAAATTAATTGAAAATTATAAAGAATGGATAAAAAGTTTTAATTAAATAAGATAATTGAATAAGGATTATAGTTTCCTTAAAGAGCTTGACAAACTAATATAAAATGAAAAAATATAGGGTAATAATGAATCATCTTTCAATAATGAAATTATGTAAATAAATCAAGCATTAATTGTAAAAATGAATTCAAAATTAGAATAATTTATAAATTTCAATGAATAGAAGCAATGTACTTTAATTCTGAATAATATTTTTAATGGTGTTGAAGGAAAGAAAGCTGTTGATTCTGAATCAAGCTAAATTGTTCAATAAACGAGTACTAACCCAACAGAAAAAAATATAGTTTATCAGATTGAGAATAAGACAGAGTATTAGAGTGAATTACAATAAATTGAATATTATGTTTATGAGGATTTGTAAAACTTTGTTAATCTTTTATATTCTTTAAAAGCGGTAAAGGAACATTTTAAAGAGTACCCTAGCCATCCTATGATTGTTTTAAGTAGGAACAAGGTAATTTTATAATTAAATCTTTCGAATGCAATTCATTATGATTTGATAAGTTAATATAAAGACAACTTGAAGAAAGTTTTACTAAAAGAAAAGGAACATGCTAAAAATATAATAAACTAATTCAAATTAATTCTAGGAGATGAATATTAATAGCATATTGATTACTTTCTATCAAATGTTTTGAATGAAAAAATTTCTATGAAAAACTTAAATCTAGAAAAAGTAGAGGAATCAAACTGTAGAAGTGAAAATTTAAATATACATTTATTTGATTAAGCCTTGGAGTCTCAAAAGATTTTCAGCCATTGGATAAAATCTAAAACTTATCATTCAAACACATTTGATTCCTTTATCTTTAAAGCAATGTATGTTTAACTTTCCTATTTAGATGTTATAAGTAAACTACAGAGATTAAGTTATTATCTAATTTTCCAGCATCCAGCTTAAATGAAAAAAGGAAATGAAAAATAAAGTTTTCATTTCAGGCTATAGTTATAAGAATAAATTAATCAAAATGTTAGTCTTCGGCTTTTTTAATCTTATACGATTTGGATTATTAATCTTCTTTTTCATTTATTCTAAAAAAATGATTATGTTTCATAAATTTCATCTAATTAATAATTTAATGTATTTTTTATTTAGTTTAGGTAATTTAGAATAATCAAAAACAGTTTTGATAATATTAAAGATTTTTACCTCACGAATTTTAAATAATTATACTCTTTATATTTATTAACTTATATTTCTCAAGCTCTCTTATCATAATTTAGATTCAATCAACGGTCCATCTTCATTATAATATTCGCAATCACTAATGTTAATTTTAATTAAATACAGACTACTATTTTTACCATTTAATATATCTATTTTCTTCCATTCTCCAATTTTTTTATTATTCCTATATTCACCTTCATATATAACCTCAGAACTTCTATTGATTGATAATAAATTGAATACTAAAAATTCCATCTTTCATCAGCATCAATCCATTAACCATTCTTTGCTCCATTTTCATTAAATGCTCCTCCTCCTCTTTAAATTTATGATATTAAATTATTACATTAATCTATCTTGTTACTCAAAAGTTTTCCATGTACCAAGCTTTTTGCCCATACAATATTCACCATGATAAGTAATTTCTCTCCAACTACCAATTTAATTTATTATTACTTTGGAATCCATTCATCATGTACATCTATCCAGTTTCCATTTTTTATTCCACCTTTAAACTATCCACCACCACTTAAATAATAATAAGAATTTAACATAAGTTTCTCTTTTGCATTGTAATTGTCATAAGTATCCCATCTTCCATTTTTTTTTCCATTTTAATAAATACCTTTATATGATATTTAAGGCCATCTACATTTAAATGAAAAAGAACTTTTGATGCCAATTATCATGCAACTCAACCCATTATCCTTTCTTAATTCCATCTTCAAATTCTCCACCACCACTTTAATCTTCAAATTTAAATGTTACATGGATTGGTTATACCAATTAAAAGTATTCCATAACCCAATTTTTTTTCCGTTTTTATACTCGCCAACCAAAGTGATTTCCTTGTTTCCACTATCCATCGGAATTTATAATTACTTTAACCAATCCCTACACAAATCAACCCATCTACCATTCTTTTTTCCTTCATCATTATAAGCACCTCCACCACTTGATTTTGTATAGTATTGATATTTTTACATTTATGTATGCTTTTTATCGTAAATTAGTAAAACCTCCCATATTCCAATTGGTAGACCATCGTTATATGTACCCATATAAATAATCTAATTAAGACTATCAATAATTTTATTCAATACTCATTTAAGTAATCACTTAATTCAACCCAAAAACCATTCTTTTGACCATCATCATTGTAAATACCTCCCCCACTATAATTAAAGTAATAAATTACATCATTTTATTTGAGAAAAAAGATTACCAAAATCCTTACTTTCTTCCCTCCAAATACTATCCTACATACGTAGCATCACAATGGCTATGGTTGCATTTAAAAAAGTTTTAGTGTAGCTCTGTCCATTTTCCTTTCTTTTAACCTTTATAATCGTAACATCCTCCTCCACTAAAATTCTTCCCAAAATAATTACATTTTATTATTGTTAAGAACAGTGTCCCATTTTTGTGTTTGAATTCCACTTTCATAAATTCCAGCATAAACAATTTAAGCCAAACTTAGGATATGTAAATTACAATACTCCCAAAAATTTTCATAATTTAATCTCCATAATCCTTATTATCGACCTTAATTATCATAAAACCCTCCTATTTATTATTCTTTATTTTTCCAATAGACTACCCATTTGCCAATTTTCTATTTCTCTTTACCTTCCTTTCCTGCCCATTTAAAATATTTAATATGTAAGAGATTTTTTGTGATACTTGAGCCATCAGCTAAATCTAATTTCTAAACAAGAATATTATCTCCGATACTTTAAATTAAAAAATAATTCCATTCCTAACGCAAGTAATTAAATCAGATTGATTTTATATAACAGTAAAAGTGGCCTATCTTAGGAAATGATTAGCTCCTTATTCCCAAACTAGCAACTCAAAGTCTTCTGAATTTTAGTCTTGATTTTCGAAATGTTGCATGAATAATTAAAGTTCACAATTTAATAATTCAATCAACAAAAATACATTAAGTGATCATAAAAAAAAATTATTTAAACTTAAACATGAATAAATTATTTACAAAGTAAAGTAGAATGAAAATTATATCCTTCTTATCATTTTAAATCTCAGTCTTCCTTTAATTTTAATAGTCATAATAATGGTAGGCATAAAATAAATAACCGCAACCCAAGCATTTTAGGGCCAAACTCCAAAAAAGATTTCTACAAAGATTTCTTTTTTTGTAGAATATTCAACTTAAATTCGATTACTCAATTTCAATTTAGATTTATTCAAAACAGTTAATTTTTATTGAATGTTCTACTTTCACAATGTTCTAGCATAAATTTATCATTTCATAAATGCTATTAAAAATTCAAATTCTAATAAGTTGATTTACCTAAGAAATAGTTTAATAATAAATTCATGAAGAATTTCTTAATATAAAATACTTAGGATTGGATAAATTTAAAAAATAATGTTAGTTTCCCATTTTATATTTTTTGTTAATTCTTAATCATGAAAATTACATATTTTATTATTTAAATTCTGCTTAATTTTCTTATTAGAAATTGTTTACATGGAATAGAGTTTACAGTTAAAGTAAAATATTGAAATGATTATTTGCTGGTAGTTGAGATCATTATTATTTATTTTCAAACATCACTATTAGTTCAAGTAAGATGAAATCAAAAATTATCTTAAATGGGTTCTTGACTTTTCAAGGCTTTCAATTTTATCAGTGATCTGGGTATTTTCTCTCAAGCTAATGATCATTTTTAATAAATTACTATGTTAAAAATATAGTTAACTCTTAATAAGTTAGGGAATCTGTGCACTAGCTGAGAAGATCATGACTCTCTTGCCACAAAATCATTTGATTGATGCTGACATAACCAGTCTCATCCGACATCTACCTTAGTCAGATAATTAGGGAATGAAGGAACCAAAAAATTTGCCTCCCAACCCTGACGAATGACAGTAGGCAAAGATGGGTAGCCAATTCCTATGGTGGATCATATTTTACGAGTAGATACAGCACCTTGATAGATCTATATTATTTGGATTTTTCTCACTCATGATCTCTAAGATGTGCTAGATCCATTTCACTGGTTGATTAAAACCTTTTAATTCTAGTAATTAGAATTGTTTAATTTATTTAATTTTATTCATCAAAATAGATTTCGAACCTTACTGTTTCAAATTAAGCAATGGTTTGAGAAGCAAGGAGAGAGAAGCATCCATTTTTACCAATAGAATTAAAATTTTTGCTCTCTTTAGCTATTGATCAAATTCAGATTGTTGATTGCTATTTTAAGTCTATTTGATTATCAGTAATGAATTCGTTTATACACCACAGTTTTGAAATGGCAAAAATGTGTTGTACGATATTAAGCAATAAAAATTTAAAAACGAGATTCAAGGAAACTGAACTAAACAGATTGAAAGAAATCAGTTATGCTTAATGAAATTCAAAGTCGATGTACTATAGCATCTTTTAAGCTTGTTCTTTTAAAAAGGAAAAAATATAGAATAGAAAAGCCAACCATAATAGTCCATTTATTTAATAACTCATTTGTTGAATATCTGTTATCATTCCCTCTTAATACATAAAATTGTAAATCCAATCCTTAATTTTCTATTGTCATCGAATATCATTCTTATCCCTAACAACTATCAAATTCCTATCCTTATTATCAATATCGAAAAAATAGTATTGATGCAATGATGAAACTAAGTTTTGAGGCCAAATGGAATAATCCTAGCTCAAGAGCAGGAATGAGGATTATTAACGTAAATATTCCAAAAGGGTTTTGTTCTGTTGAAGAATTATTGGCAACATCTTGAACTTGTCACAGAAATAATTACCCAGTTAAACGATGGAGATTAAACTTGTTTTAAGCTCGCGGAGCTTCATTGCAACTTGACATTATTTGTTAGAGGAATGGGTGGCAGTTTTAAAATAAAAGTATGATAGAAGAAGTTGCTGTTAAAAAAAAAGAGAGTTTAAGTCTATTTCTCAAATTTTCAACTAAGCGTGGACTTCTCAAAGTAAAATTAGAAAGAATCCTAACAAAACAATGTGACCCCCTTCAATTTAATAAGAAAAAATTACTAATTATTAGCAAGACTCATTCTTTTTGCAAAATGGAATCTATGGGGCTATAATATAGAGGACTTAAGTAATATTCCATATTTTTATTTTTATAAACTTAAATTCTGTAAAGGATATATTTAAAATTATAAAATGCTGCTTAGTAAGAAAATGATTTATTGATGCCCCCTACAATTTCAGGTAGAGTAATATTATTTAGCAAATTTATTCTATTAAGCAAAAATTAATTATGAAGATTTTTGCTTACACATTATACCCTCATAGTACTTAGAAATACATGAACTCAAGCTTAATCATTATACCAATCCTCTTAATTTTTCTTCACTTTCAGTTCTAAAATATATAGCAAAATAAACAATTATATTAAGAAAGATTTATTTATTTGTGATATAATCCAAAAATTTCAAGTACAAAAAAGAAAGATAATTTAGGAAAATAGAGGTTTCAGTAAGTCTCTCCCTTAATTAATTCTCTCTTTCTTGCTTCAATATTTGCAATTGTTGTTTTTCTTATTATGATAATTATCTGCCTGACGAAAGTTTGAAATTCATAAAGTTTAAAGTAGTAGCAGTATAAGATGATTTCTTACACAAATAATTGAATTTATTCATAACATATAAATGAAATGTTTTACACCGCTAGAGTATCAGATTCACAAATTATAATATTGATAAAGTACAAGCTTATATAATTTAAAATTTAACATAGTCAATACTTTTAGCATTATATATGGAACACTAATTTGCCATTTAATTTCTTAGGATTATGCTTCTCATAAAGTTATTTTTATTCTCTATGTAATGTTAATCCAAATGTATAGTGTTTGACTATATCTTAGACCTTGCTTAAGAGATTGTGAAAGACCTGCCATGGACGAATGAAATATTTTTTATCCTTCCTTTATTTAAAAAAATAATAACTTCAGCATGACATTAGATGAAAGAATAAATAGAATTCGTAAGTAATTAAATGTTAAAAGATATTATCCATGTTTTTCTCCATCATGATTCTAATAAAAGTCTATTGGCATTACATAGCTTTTTAGCTAAGTATTCTAAATAAAAATATTGCTAGAAATCGCAATTCATCTCGAATTAATTGTTGAAAAATTTGGATTATGTATTATTTGCTGTTATTAATCTTCCTTATTTAATCTAATTCATATATTTTATTGCTTTCAAGCTAAGTAAACTATTCTAACATTTAACTTCTATAAAAATCAAATAAAATTATAATAATGAAATACAATTGATTTCAAAAATTTAATAATGATATATTTTTTATGATTTTGAAGGAGGGATGTATTTATAAAGTTCCAAATACAAGAATTTAATAAGTTAGAGTGAGGATAAAATTTATTTTCTAAGAAAAAAAAAATAATGTTAAATTGATAAATGAATTTTATTATAATTATAGTTGATGGTTTAAATCAATATATTATTCAAGTTATCATTTTCTAATTTATTGTTTCTTCAGTTGATTTTCACAAACAACTATAGATCTAAACTAATATATACTTTTTTGATTTTGAACAAATTAATAATTTGGATTGATCTAAATTGCCTAATTATAGCAATTGATGGCTTCTTAATATTTTTATAATGATTGTAAACAGGCTCCTAAAAGAATAGAAATACAATAGACCTTTGCAGACGAGAGATTAATCATGATTCGGATTTTAATTCAATGCTACATCTAATATCTTAATGGCGTCTTCATATTCACCCAACATTCTTAATGATTCGCCTAATGTAGTAAAATATACCTTTTGTAAATAATGAATTGATATGCTTTGAATTGATAGATAAAGCTTTATCAGCCCATAAAATTGCATCTTTGTAATTATCAAGCCATTTTAAACATTCAGCTATTATCTTATTAACTGAATTCAAACCTTTAGTATGTAATGAATTGACATTTTTTGAATCGATAGACAAAACTTTATCAGCCCATAGAATTGCATCTTTGTAATCGCCAAGCATTCTTAAACATTCCGCTAAATATTATTGTCTGAATTTTAACCTTTCGTTTATAAAGAATTGATATGTTTTGGATCTATAAATAAACCTTTATCGCACCATAGAATTGCATCATTGAAATTATCAAGCATGTATATACATTGAGCTAAAACATTGATTACGGATTTTACCTTTTGTATATAAAGAATCGACTTGCACTGAATCTATAGATAAAGCTCTATCAATATATAGGATTGCATCATTGTAATTCTTAAGCTATTTTAAGCATTCAGCTAAAAAATTTTTAGTTTAGTTTATACCTTTCGAAGTGATAGAATTCAAATGATCAGGATTAATAAATAATGCATCATCAAATAATTTGATTGCTTCCTCATATTCATTATCTTCTTAATATAATTAATATCCTAAATTAATGATTCAATACCTTTTTAAAATAACTGTGTTGTATTTTATTTTTCTTGAATTTTTAATGAGTAACTCTTCTATTTTCAATTCTGAAGTATATCTTTTTATTTGCATGATCATATCATCTGAACATTTTTTAACTTCGTTTAATACACTTTTTTCAACTTCTTCATATTTAATAATGTAATTTAAGATTTAATGTAATTGTTTTGCATCCAATTTTTATAATCTCTCTTTGGAATATTGATATTTCTTTGTAATCTTTTAATTTAATTAAGTAAATATTTTATTAATTTCTTAATTTATCAAACACAAATCTGATTTTAAGGTTTCGCTTTCTTTCTCTATATTCTAAAAAATCAGAATTAATTTTTATATATTCCATTAATCATTAATATGAGCAATGTGATCTCCATTTCTTATACATTAGTCACAATAAACTCTATTAGCTTTACACTCTTTATTTAAACAAACTAATTAGGCATAATCATGATCTTCTATAGAACATTTAATCTCAAGCTCTTTTATCTGATTCATATATATTATTAGTATTCCTAATTCTATTAATTTAAAATAAATAATTATTAAATATATAAAGTATCTATATATACTTCAATTTATACTCATTGGTATTTTCAATTCATATACATGAAATGATGAAGTTTCATCATTCTAAAGCATTAAATATTTTCCATCCTCAGTAACATTTCCATAACTTTTGCATGATCTACAGTCTGTAGGTTCACTCAGAAGGCTAAATGTTTAATTTTGTTATTTCAATTAATAAACATATTTGTTATGCTTTATGATAAAAATTTACTTGGCTTTATTCTAAATGGATGGAAATAAGGATTATCCATCTTTTAAGTCTTAATATTTTAAGTTGATTTACAAATCTTTTATTTCAATAAACTGATCTGATTCTTGTTTAAAATATGAATTGAACACTATTTTTCTTGAAACCGTATCTTAATTAAGAAAACAAACTCTGAAACCATTTGAATTTATTTATTTTTTTAATTTCTTTTCTTTTCCCAAACTATAATTGTTTTATCATCACTGCATGAAACTAATTAAGTATCATCTTCATTCATACTTATTTAACTAATATGTGTGCTATGCTTATTAAGCTAATAATGAAACACCAACTTATTTTTCTTATAAATACCCATTTTCAAAATTCTATATTTTTATATCCTTTTTTGCTGCCCCAGCCATTATAGAACCATCCTTATTGAATGCAAGAACAAACCACCACAATTCCTAAGAAACTTCTTAAGTTTGTCCATCACATGTTTCGGTATGCATATGTTATTGATCAAATGTGTTTCGAAATTTTAAAGTTTTAACTAATACTTTTTTTATCGGTATAGCATAAATTCTTCATAATATTAGTCTTATCCAAGCAATATCTTTAAATTTTCTGTTTCTTTCTCTACAATATTCACAATTTATTTTATGCTAGCAACAGAGCTTTCTAATTTACGATAATAATTCTAATTTATCTAATTTATTCATTCTGCATTCTTCATCTAATTGATCCTCATTATTTTGAATTAATTCATCCTTCCATTAACATGAATTTACAATAATAATATCAGTACAGTTTGAAAAGATATTTTGTAAATTAATCTATTTCATAAATGTTTTATTTTCTTAAGGTTTTGACCTATTCATTAAGTGTTTCCTAATAATTAAATATATTTTTTACTATTTCATTAGTTGACGTGATATTTCAGCTTAACTCGTAGAGATCTAAGCAATCTGTGCATATCAAATTTTCCTTTAATTTCTAATTTTAATTATCAAGCACTGACAGAATAGGACAATCCTTGTGTTTATAAACACATTCCCTGTCAGTAGCATCTTAAATCATTTATTATTCTTAATTAAAGAAATCACTAACTGCTTCTAAGCCTGATTAATCAATAAATTTTCCTTTATTAATTGGTCTTCCTTATTTTAGAAAATAAATACATAAATTTGAAGTTAGAAGAAAATCAGAGGTGTAAGGATGTTTGAAAAGGTTTCCATTAGCAATAAAATCTTAGTTTTGAATTTATTTTGTAATACAATTCTGTGTTAAATTAATATCAAAATAAAATATGTGCAAATGATGATAAAATTTTTTAGAATGTTTTTGGATATATCAATCAATTAGCTAATTAAAAAAATGGGGGAAAGTATAATAGTCGTTTATCATTTATTCGATATTTAAAATTATCACTTTTTGAGTTTACTTTGAAAAATTCTGAGTTTATTTGATATCCTTACTTGTTACTCCAATACAAGATAATAGTGATAATTAGAGTATTTTCAAATATAATCGTATAAGCTTTTTACATTTAATCCTGAGCAAATCTAACCACATATTATATTGATATTTTTGATTTCCAAATTTTAGGTTTGAATGAAATATTGTTTAAAATTTAATGTAATCACAATTAAAGCAATTTGACTTCTCATAAATGTCAAGCATTTTATTTAATTTCTTTGATAAGACTTCCCCCTATTGTTTTATTTGTATTAATTTAATTCATAATATCATAAATTTTCTGAATTAATAAAATTAAATTTATAGAGGTTTTGAAAAGGTATTTTAAATTGGATTCTAATGTAAATTATGGTTATTCAATTATGGGATAGGTTATAAATATTTTAGATAGAGTAATATTTTATATTGGTAAATAATCTTCTGCCTCTACAATTTCGAATATTTTTTGTCTAATGAATAGATTAAGCCAATATATCCAAGAATCTGAATTAAGAATATATATCCATATTTTTGAAATCAATAAAATATAGATTATTATTGCTGTTGAGAGAATTTATTTAAAAAAAATTTTTCACTGAAAGCTTAGACCTCTGATGATTTTAAATAAACTCACTTTTGAATTATTATGTGAATAAATTCAAATGAAATTTTAACTAAAAAGGACTTAAACTATAATAACCAAAAATATAAAGGGCAGCCATTTGGAAGATTATATGTAGAGCGATTTCTCCTATAAAAAAGAATTCTAATAAAACAGTACAGTTAACTACAGATCATATGAGGCAATCTAAGAATTTAAATTAAATTAACGTAGAAATTTATATTAGCTGAAAGTAAAGATGATATCCAAATTAAACCTTAGTGAACATATATTCCACTAACATTCAAATAGAAATACAACAATATTTTAAAAATTTTTGACAACTTTTCAATTCAAGATTATGGTGAAAAATCCCATAATTGAAAAATTTCTATTTAACTTTGACTACTTAATTTTTATTATGTTATTATATAGATGATTTCGTTGACTGCTTTTATAAGAGCCATGATCTCTCATTAAAGATTTGAAAATTTTTCATTCATAGTTGATTAATATTATTATTCAATTTAGATTAAGGATGAAACGATTTTCTAATCATTGATTTTATTGAAATCCCTAACATTTAATCAAACAACCCTAAATCTCCTTCCTTATTTTGTTTACATTTATATTTCTCCATCGGTTAAAACAAGTGTCATCTATTAAATCAAAATTATCTAACCCTCATTTAATTCATATTCATAAAGTAGTAACTATACCAAAGGTTCTTTGATTTTTTATTAACTCATTTTACCTAAATTCTAATTTTACCTGACATAATTCCTTAATCTAATGAACAAAGAAATTGATATTTTTGATACATATTATATATTAATGACTGAAAAAAATAATAGAAATTGAATATTCTTTAAAATAAGATAATGAATTGTACCAATCATATTAAAAATCAAGTGTCTTTAATATGTATCGCTCCTCATACGTGCTAATTCGATAGGAAACTTTGTTCAGAGTGCTTAGATGAGCATTAGTTTAATAGCAATATAGTATCAATAAAAAGATTTAAAGAAATGGTCATGAAGAGATTTTCAGAATCTAAGCTAGATCAAAATACTGAAGAATTAATCCATTAGAGAAAGGCTTTTAAATCTATGCTCTCTGAAACAGAAAGCAAAATGAGGAAAATTTGGGAAGAGTTGGAGAAGTCAATCAATTAAATGTATGATTTCATTGAAGAGTAAAATAAATTGTATTTGAATCTTTTCAACTAAAATGATAATCTATCAGAATTCTCCAATTCTAACTTAGAATAATTAGTATAAATTCTAATAGGAGAATCATTGGATGATTGGAATGATTTACAAAATTCTTAATTGGTAAAACTGGAAAAGACAAAGAATTAATGGGAATAAGATATTAAAACTTTCTGTGAAAAGATGAATATAGAAATGAAAGAGATTACTTCAAAGATTAAGTAAGAATTGATATTATAAATAAGGATTGAACCAAGGTAAGAAATAGTATAAATCAATGAAAGAGAGAAAGATTTGTATGAAGTGTTAGCTTTATCAAAAAGTATCAATCAAAAATTATTTGATAAGATGATAAAGATGCTAAAATAAGATAAAATTTCAAATATTATTATATTTCTTTAAAAAGAATTCGCTCAAAAGTATCAGGAAGAATACATGTATAATGAAGCGAATTTATCTCCTAAGAGCAGAGAGGTGAAATTGAAAAATGACTTTTAGGTTATTACCACTGTATTTAGAGATATTCATTAACTTGATTTTAATAAAAAAAATTTTTCAACAGATGCATACATAGAAACTAGAATAAATATAATTAAAAAGATATAAAAAGATGAGAAGATTATCGAATTTTTAAAGTTTCTAGTTAACCTAACAGCTATTGATAGTTAATTCATCTAATGTGGCTCAAATTCACTTAATTTATTAGTTGAGATGAAGGTAGATCTAAAAGAGCAAAGTTTTGAAAATATTAGGATTAAAGATACTTCTTTGATTGGAGGAAATTTTTTGAGATGTAATTTGAATGGATCCCAATTTGATAATGTCGATATAGGTGGTGTGAATTTAAATGGCGCTTAATTATTTAACTGCAAATGGAAGAATATAAAATTGAATGAATTAAATAAACTTGAAGGCCATGAGAGTAGTGTCAATTCAGTTTCTATCTCGCCGGATGGTACAATATTAGCATCTGGCAGTGCAGATAACTCTATTCGATTATGGGATAGTAAGACAGGGGAATTAAAGGCAAAATTAGTGGGTCATGAAAATGCGGTCAACTAAATTTGCTTCTCTCGTGATGGAACTACGTTAGCTTCTGTTAGCGGAGATAGAACTATCCGTTTATGGGATGTTAAGACAGGACGATAAAAAGCCTAATTAGATGGTCATACTAATTCAGTCCTAACAGTGTGCTTCTCTCCGGATAATACAATATTAGCATCTGGTAGTGCGGATCATTCTGTTCGTTTATGGGATATTACAACACGAAAAGAAAAGGCCAGACTAGTTGGTCATAGTAATTCTGTCTGCTTCTCACCTGACGGCACTACATTAGCATCTGGTAGCGGAGATAACTCAATCAGGTTATGGGACGTTAAGAGATAAGAAATAAAAGCCAAATTAGAGGGTCATCGAGATTATGTCCGCTCTATATGCTTCTCTCCAGATGGTAAAACATTAGCATCTTGTAGTGCAGATAGCTCTATCCGCATATGGGATCTTAAGACAGGAAAATAAAAAATCTAATTAGATGGTCATAGTGATGGAGTCCTGTCAATATCATTCTCACCTAGTGGTACTACAATAGCATCTGGTAGTAAGGATAACTCTATTCGTTTATGGGATGTTAACACAGGATAATAGAAGGTAAAATTAGAAGATCATCATGATTTCATCAGATCAGTATGCTTCTCTCCTGACGGTACGAAATTAGCGTCAGGTAGCGGAGATAAGTCTCTCCGTTTATGGGATGTTAATACAGAAAAAAAAAATCTAGGCTATGATTGTTGTTTTAAGGACCATCCTACTTTTTTAAAAACCCCACTTAAAAATAATACCTTATTATAAAATGGTAATTAATTAACTTATTATTTAGTCGCATCAAATATAACCATTCTCCTTATCTCCAAATAACTAATATTTTAAGCATAAGGAGCATTACTTTATAAAGGAGAATTTATGGATCAATCAGGTATGGATTTTACAACAGTTCTCAAATAAAAAGGAAGCTTGATTTTGGATGATTAAATAGAATTTTAAGAGCATTAAAGTTGATTTTTAATTAGAGCATAATAATTTTAGATCTCATTTCTTTTTAATATGCTATATTTTTCCTTTGGTATCTTCCTGTACATTTTATAACTGACTTTAAATCAATATGTAACTACCTAAATCACAAATCATGTAATTTATTAAACAAAAATCCTTTTTATAGAATGCTGAAGTTGAATTCAAGAAGCGTTTAATTTAACTACCTTCCATTTAATTTTTCTTTGAAGTTCTTTAGTATATTAATAAATATACTTATAGCTTTCTTATGAGCTGGATTTTGCAGCACCAAGTATTGATTTATTCAACATCTATTGCTTTTGGTTGTGCTTAGCTGACTTACAAATCCTAATTGCTGAATTATATTGAGAATCAGTAAAACGATATCTAAATATATCATCAAATTGTGAAGATTCTAACTTGATTAGAGAAAAAATATTATATTCGATTCTCCTTCTTTTCCTTCATTATTCTAGGTTTTTTTCAATCCTACCTAAATACCGAAAACCAAACGGTTTCCCATATTATTACATAAATCCATAAAATTAACATCATTATTGCAAAATGCTCACCAAATTCTTTTTAATTATAGTTAATCATCTCTAGTTATACGAACAGTCAGTTTTTCAAAATGGTTTTAGGTAATGACATTATAGTAGCCAATATGCTTTTAATGCCATATGTCTATATAAATTAAGAACTCGCAATCCTAAGTCATTTAATCCTTCTCATCTTATTGTTAGTTAGATAGAGTCATTTATTTCATTAAATTTAAGTAGCTGATCTACTAGACCAAATTATTTCCTGAATTTTTTAACCAAATTCAATTCAAATATAACAGATTTATGTTGATAGGAGTGAAACTTCCTATATTAATTTCTTAATGGATGCAGTAAAAGATGTGAATAACCTCAAATTTTGAATAAGATGTCCTTTTTCATTTTTTTTGGTGGAATTTCATTATCTGTTTCAATTAGACCGCTCCAAACAATCTTTATCCTGTTCTTACCTGGCAAAGCGAAATCTCATACCTAAATTAAAATCTCTCGCAATACATAATATTTACTTTAATAATAAATAGAAATCTATAGCATATAGTTGAATTTTCCATTAAACAGAAAATTTCTATACCCTATTTTAGAAGGTTAAGGATGGCCTTTCTCAAATAGGTATCTTTAAGCTCAAAAATTCATACCCTATCATTGAATTGGGTTTAATTTAAATTTCTCTTCACCTAAGAGGTATTATGTATATGATGAAAATGCTTTAGAAATTTTTGTAAAATTTAAAGAATAGATTTCCACCAACTTAATCCACATTTCCAAATGATGAGTTATTTGGTTAGGTTAAATTTTTAACCAAAATTATGAATTTCTTCAAATATTAATTCCCTTATAATATTGATGACTTCAAAACCCATGAACAATATAATTATTTTATACTAAAATTTTTTTAACTTCAAAATATATTTAAATTCTAAGTAGAGAACAAATAGACATTCAGATTCTCGTTTTCAAAGTCCAGCAAGTTATATGGAAAAATCAATCTAAATATAAATTGAAGTTGACTTGGACTTAAGCTCTGTATGTTTAATAAAGCTTAGCAATAATACACCTGATATGTCAATCTGAATTGTAAGAGCTGAAAATGGAGATTAAATATTTTAGATGTTAAGTTTTTTGAATAGAGTTCAAGAGTATTAGGTTTGCAATTAAGCTATTATATTGTTCATTTACTAATTTTCCGACCATATGATTGATACTAAATTTATCAATTAATCTGTTTCAAATTTTATTATTTGAATGACTTCATTACAAAAACCTTGGGTCTTAGAAAGGTTTACAATTCATAATATAAATAATCAAATTAAGAATAAAGAATATCTCAATAGATTAGTTTAAGATGGGAAGTGCAAACTGTAAATTAATTGAATTTCAACAAATATCAAATCTATGAGACTATCACAAATGATGCGCAATATTTAATGTATCATTTAAAGATATTCAATCTACCAATATTTATTTAAATCAAATATTATGATGTTTTAGGGCTTTCTTCCTAAAGAGAAATTTTATAAATATATTGATTTCAATATTTATACATTTTTTAGATACAACTAACTTTATTCACACATATTCGGCTTTTATACTTTATAAAGCAAAAGAAAACTTATTCTTTTCAATAAGTTTCACTTAGGTTCCAATTAAGTTCTGTTCCCTAAATATTAGCCATTTAAATTATTATTGAATAAAAATTGCATAAATCCTTGATTGTCGAATAATACTAATCTAAATTTATGGCAAGCTCAAAGGAAAAACCAGTACTTTATAAATTGCTTAATTAATATTATGCAATTAATTTCAAATTTAATTATTCAAAAATTCATCCAGTAAACTACTCTCAAAAACTCATCATCATATCATTTTTAATTTTTAAACACAATTGATTGATGAATGTTTGGGCAAATTAACAAAAAGATAATGTAGCCTTAGGTTAGTTAATTTTAGAAAAATACAGTTATTGAAGCAGTATCTGCTTAAATAAATTTAAAGTAAATTTACAGCAAGTTAAACAATTTTATCACTGTTATTTTGTTTTTGACTATTCTTTAAATCTTTATCGTTGCAGGACCCTTATTTTAACAGAATGATAAAAAAATGTTAATACTAGTAACAATATCTCGATTATGTTGTTTTACAGATGCTTGATCTCAAATCAGTAATAAAAAAAGAGAAGGATCTGATACTTACTTTTACCTAGGCTTTGCATATAATGCTTTTACAGCGGCCAAGTAAGCCATCCATAGTTGAAATTAAGTATTGTAAATAAGGAATGATAGGTAATTTGGAGCAATATCAAATAAATTATCAATTATGTAGCCTTTCTCATTAAACATTGATATAACAAAGGTTCTTTCTTGAATAATATTAAAATTTCATGGCATATATTAAATAAACTGATAAACAAAATTCTATATCTTAATTCCTCCACTTCCTAATTGGTTGCATATGCAGCATTTTAAATTTTTTTTATAAACATATGCAGATTATAAATTAATGTAATTAATTTCTTTTATTAATAACAAATTATAATTGTATTTGCATGAATGGTCTATAAGATTTTGTCATGATATGCATATTGTATTATAATTATATTATTAAAGTTAATTAAATTCTTGACATGTTATACTTTGGATAATAACAATTTTTATAAAACAACCTATTTTCAGATTATAAAGTTATTACTCTCATTTTTGACTTTTCATCAAAATTATGATTACTTTAGACTTTAAACATATAGTTCTTCTCTTATCTCAGCAAAAATGTAGACTGCATGTAAAGCTCCCACTAATATCTTAAGTGTCTTAGAATTATTTTATTTTAGAAGTTTATCTTGTAATTCAAAATAGGTTTAATTTTTTTGTTAGTATAAGTTCCAACCACTTTTTTTATGCTTAAATGTCGGTACAAAAAAAATTCGCTTAACAATAACATAATTAATTTGTCTTATATTATTTCAATTATGATAATATTTCTTAACAAAGTGTTTTACATCATTGCAAATGCTGAAAGTGGTTCTTATATCTTAGACTTATCACTTTTATCAATCATTCAAATATAATAGTTCTCAGATCTTTGATAAATCTAAGTTTTAACAATGCTATTTCAAGTTTACTTCCTATTAGTCCTCTTTGATAATGACAGTCATAATCTTCTTCTGTTTTTGTAAACTCTTAGTAAATTCTGAGTCTACACCAATAACAATCATATTATTCATTTCTCTCCCTAAGAATACTCTACAAACCCACCTACGCTTCATGAGTTGCTGATAAAGTGCGTTTCATTTACCTTTCCAATTTATCGTATTCCTACGAATTTATCAAATTAAATTCTTATCCTTCTAATTAATGTATAATATCAATACCAATGGATTAAAATTGATTATCTTACGAGTTCTTATTAGAATTCGTATAATAATGCAGAGTGGAATTTACCATGCATCGTTAGGGAAATATATAATATCTATGAATATTATTTGAAATCTAATAGATTTTGTTATGACATTAAGAGTTTAACGTTTGAATTCTGACTGTTCCATCTGATAAATTCTGACGATCAACAAACTCTTTTCTTGAGAAAATATTTAAAAATAAAATATATTTTCACATTTCGAACATACCATATTTGATTTATGTGTAAAATACTATTTTCAACACTTTGCCTATAAGGTATTTTTCTCCAAAGATAAACTCAATCCAAAGATTTCATTTTCTTATTCTTAAATTTTAAAGAACTATACATTCTTTTTGATATTTATTTATGTATATAAGTATATTTTTTGGAAATTTATTCTCCTTCTTTAATTATTTTTCAAATGGCAACTTTCCCTTAGTTTGAGTTTTTTTATTCATTTTATATTGAAGTTTTTACCAAGTTCATTGATGTAAAATATGTAAAATTGTTGTCATTAGATTTAAAACCTTAATAAAATATATCATTTCATAAAATTCTTGTATATACTTTCTTTGAGAGATGTTCTATTTTTGAGAAATGCATAGAGATGATATTTCATCTATTCAACGCAATATTGTTAAAATTAGTAGGTCGGTTAAATTTGTTCCAACACTTCTCCCTTTACAAAGATTTTAAATCTTTGTTTTATCAGTAGAATATTTTGTATTTTGATTATTGTCATTTCGAAGTTGAAAATTTCTTAATTAAAATTATAAAGACAAATAATGATCAATTTGATTGGATTTACCTTGTTGGTTGTTGGATGTTAAACTTCAACCATAAAACTTTCCTCTTTTTATGAATGCTCGTGTTAAAATTTGTTAACAGACAAAGATTGCATTCTTGAATTTTGCAATTGGAACAATAATACATCATTATGTCAAAACAAATCTTGTGGAGAATTTAATAAAGGAGATTGCCAAGGTGTTCCAGATCCATTTTAATGTACTTGGAATTACTAACTTGATAAATGTGAAACATTTACAAAATGCTCTGATTATAGTTTTTCAATTACTCAAGCTAATAGATGCTATGAATTGATAAAGTGTTAAGCTGATGTTGGTACAATTGATATTATGGCTGGAACAATAAAATGCATGGCTAAAAGCAATGAGTCTGCAAAGAGTATCACAAATTGTGATAAAATTCCTTATGACCATTGTGAATGGCTTGCAACTGATGATGAAAAACAATGTGTTAGAAATAAGGAAACTTAATCTTGTGAAACAAGAACAATAACTTAATGTTCTGATTATAAAAAAATAGATGAGTGTGATCCTAGTGCTTGCTATTGGAATGAAACATGTAAGCCTTTGGAGTGCTCTATATTGCCAGAATAATCATGCTAATTCTATTTTTCGATTGATTCAAAAGATGTTACATTATGCACTTGGAACTAAAACTAATGTGTTGATTTAGAGCCAGAGAGCTTAGATCAAGGTTAATGTTTGTCATACACTCTTTATTCATATGCTTGGGATCCAAGTAGTGAATAATGTGAAATTTGTAGTAAAAACTCAATATAAAAAAGACTTTTTTTCTTTGGATTCATTTTGTTGGCTTTAAGTCTTAATTGAATTTTAGAGAAGATAATTGATTTAAAGATATCAATTTAAAAAATAAAATTCATATCCAAATTGAAATTATGTGGGCATGCAAAATACACTTTCTTTAACTTTTTAGTCAGCTTCTAATCTTATTCTTTATTCGATCATTTTGTTTCCCTACTAGATAAATCAAACCACTTATCTCCACTAATAAATTGATTTCAATCCAATTCTTTTTATAAATTGATGAAAGAGATCTGGAATTCTGAATTTTGCCTTTTTTCTATACTTACATCATTTTCAAGGATAAATATGCAGCATAGTTATACTTGTTTGATTCATTTTTTTCTTAGTTAAAATGTGCAATCATTTGAGATAAAAATTTATGGTTCTAAAGAATTATAAATTTGAAGGCAAATGCATTTAAAATGATGTAAATAGACATATGAAACTTGATTCATTCTTGTTCATGAATTGGAAAAAATTCTTTAGATGGATTGCTCTATTAAATAGTCTTTTATATATTTTTTTCAGTAATTTGAATTTTTTATTGAGAACATAAAACACTCCATTTGTTTCATTTAGAGAATAAGTATCAAAAATATTATATGCTAAATTGCTAGAATTGCTTGATGACTTTATAATTCTTTTACTTAACTAGATTCTAAATGATAATTTAGATTTCATGTAGGAATACATTTAATCACCTTAGATTATATGATTATATGTTGTGCTCGTATTTGAAGGTTAGTTATAATTGAAATCACATGAGTCTAATATATACCAGTTTATGTATATTTAATTGTTTTTTATAATAACTCATATAATTATTAATGTTAATTTTTCATTACAAGGATTTCATATGTATAAATTAATTTTTAAGGGCAAAGCAACACTAATTTTAATATTCAATATAATTTAAATATGAGAATCAAATTATCTTAATTGTAATTCATGGTTTCTTCTATAAGCTATTGGCATTTGGTCTATTTCTTCCACTTTTTCCAGATTCAGGCCTTCTTTACACAAATAAATTGTTGAATCCCATCTTCTAAATATGTGATTTGATTTCTACTTTACATTTTTCCAACAATTCAACTTTAAGGAATTTGTGCTTAACTAATAAAATTTTTGTATTAAGTAAATCAAAATCTACAATGAACTCATTGGTTGCTCTTTCTATTGATCTTTAGTATCTTGCATGAAATACTGCAGCAATAAAAAAATTTTCGGGAATTTCCTCTTGCATGAAGTACTCATAGATGCATTATAAATCTTTATATTGATATTTAGTGTGTGATAAAAATTCAATTACTTGATCCTTTTTGAATGTCACTTGTAATTGCCATTCCTCAACTTTGTTTTGTTCAACTTCATTGAAAATTTAATAACTAATTGCAGAAATAGAGTTATATTCTTTCAGTTTCTCGTGATCAAATCTATTAATTATTCTTTCAGTAGCTTCTTTTATTATTTAATGTTCATTCTCTTAATTGAAAAAGATATTTATATGATCCTTAGGAGCCATTTCTTTCAACATTCTCCCTATTGTTTCAATTATAAACCTATCAAGGATATTTTTTACTTATTCCTTTTATAATTGATCCTTTTTGGCAGATAGAATAAGTATAACCTTAATTGTATCCATACAGTGAGTATCAAAATCCTTATTAAAATCAACTAAGCTTTAGATTGGGTTTTAAATTAACTTATTTGTAAAATTCTTATTATGTTACTCATAAGCCAAAGTATACGACTCATTGATTAAACTTATCATCTCTCTACTCCATTCAGACTTTGGTTATCTAATCAAATAAAATAAAGTATTTGCTAATAAGGCTGCATAGGATTAATCAAAACATACATCTGCATTCTCACATGCCACAAATGTCATTATTGTGTGAAATATTAAAGATCTGAAGAATGGCTTCAGATCCTCATTCTTTTTTGTGTACAAAGGGAGAATACAATTAACTATTTCCTCTTATCCGTTTCCAACTTAAAACTTTAATTCATGCTAAGCGTTCTCTATCAAGGAGACCGAATCTAAAAATTTATGAATCCTAACCAGAGATACAATTTCAATCTTATATGGATCAATCATGCTTGCATTTGTTCTTTTAACCTATAATCCATAACCTATTATTGGAAATGCAGTCACCAATTGATATTAAGATGAACAATTTTCTAATCCATAGATTAAATCCTCTTCTTGTAATATCTCCTTCTAACTTTATAATGTCATAACGGATCTATCTCCATCATTACCATCAAATTTATGTTATTTAAGACACTCAATGAGCTATTGTTTGGCTTTTGTAAATTCTTCGATAGATAATCCAGCAAATTTTAGAGCTTTAGTGTGAAATTTACCTATTTTAGTTCCAATCTTCAATCTGTCAGCTGCATCCTTATCGCTTAATTAATTTAATGTAAAGTCTTATGTGAATAATTTCAATTCTGCGACAAGATCTGAGAGTCCTGTATCCTTAAATTAAGATTCTTACACTCTTTAAGCAAATGTTTTTTATTTCTTTTAACCTTGAAGTTTTGGCGTTAAATTCGATAACCTTTCAAATTCTGCAAGAGCCACCTAAGCTTCCTATTTCACCTTTGATTTCAACGAAAGCAATTAAATATTCTATAGCCAATAAGAGGCCAATTCTAATATCATAACCTCGGATGGATTTGAAGGCTAGAGTACCCTTCCATCAAAAGTGATTTCATTATCATGGCTGCCTACCCAACTACCAGACCAAACCATTGTTGTTTTCTCCTTGCTCCAAGGAAAACACAGGCAAGGAGAAGTTTCGCATTATTTTCTTGGTTTTAAAATAGCCCCAACTGATTAAAATTCCTCTTTAAATATAGAATCTAAAAATTCCTCTCTTTATTTGCTTGATTAATCTTCGACTGAAACTATGAACACAGGAGGTATTGAAAAATTGCCTGTGTGATAAAGTGCTCTAAGACTCATTGAAATATGAGTTGGAAATCCATTTCCTACACCCACACAAATAAAATTTAGATTGTTTACCTTGGGCATATTTTACTCTATTGCATTCTCATCATAACTACCTTGCCCATCAGAAACAAACACTACTGTTAAATCACTTGTGATCTCTCTTTTTTTAATTTCTTGATTTAAGGCAACAAAGGCACTTGTTATATTTGTACTTTCTCCACCATATTAATATATGTTTGGAGATATATTTTCATTAGGCTGCAATACTTTAACATATGTGTCGAAAGTAATAGCTATTGACATAATGGCTTTTTCTTTTAACTCATTATGATATTTCGCCACATATTTCCAATCTATAAGATAATATAGGAAGAATACAGCTTGCCATAGATCCTGAGCAATCTAAAACAAAAATCAGAAATCCTTTTTCGACCTCTTCTTTTTTTGGTAGCTTAAAATACTTAACTTGAACTTCTTAATCCATATATTAATAAATAATAGTAATAATTTATATTATTTCTTATTATATTAAGCCATTAATTTATCATACTACAACAATTCAGTATATAATTTTTAATAAATTGAACAAAGCAAGATTGTTAATTCATTAAATAATAAATTCGCACTTTTTACTAAATTAAATGAATTCATCCTTTTTTTTTTATTATATTTGTATTCATTATTACTTCATTAATATTTTAAAATTTTAATTTATTTCTCTTTACCTGAAATCATTTTTCTATTATTATACCTTAGCAGTGGCTCCATTTCAAAAGGATTTTAAATTAAAATAAGTTAGAGTATTTCTATTTAAATAGAGTTAGAAATATTGAGAAAAAACATAAGTCTCTTAAGATTATTAAATGTTAACGATTTGATATATTTGATAGTAAATCAAATTTAATTTATAAGTTACATTGTAATTTTTGTTTTGGGAATCAAATATTAAAACTCATGTTATTCAGCAGTTTCTTTAAATTGCTTAGACAATAGAATACTAGTCTACAAACCTTATTACTAACCCGTAAATATATATTTTTTATTTCTCCAAGATGGCATCGAAAATAGAATTTGTGAATAGATGAACGCAATATTTTAATTAGATACAAAAGTATTGATCATAACAAAGCTTTTGAAAGATGAAGATAACCTCTTAATAGGAAATATCTAAAAGCTGAATTAAAAAAAATGGATGCAATCGTAATTGACTATATACTTTAGTTTTTGCATTTAAATTATTTTTGGTAGAGAATTAACTTATAATCTATAAATAGTTTCCAATAGCATATAATTAACAGTGGATTCGTTGTAGTAAAGCTACTAAAGAACTATATTTATAATAAAAAGTGAACTGAAGGTTCAATTTTATGTTATATTTTTATATTTAAAAAGCACTTTTATCACAATGTTGTATGGTTAAAGGAAATTGAAATAACTCAGAGTGAAAATAATTGCGAAAAGCCAGAAGAATTTAGATTTTTTTCAAGTATTTTAAATTTGAAAGGTTAAAATTTTAATTTTATATTAACGAAGAGAAGGTGCCCAAAATAATTAGAAAAATACATTTTACGATTTATTTTCAAGGATACGTAGTTGATAAATGCCAAATCGTAGAGTATTTCTAAAACAAATTTACACTTAAGTTCTTGACATCACTCACTATTAACAACAGGCAATTCTTAATACTCAAGGAACTCTGTATTTATAAACTTAGGAGCTGTTGTTTGGATGCAAAGCCAATTTGGCTTACCACCCATTTTATTTCTGATAATCAGACAAATTTTGTCAGTTAAATACTGTTGATTAGAATTTTACTAATTAGAGGATTTAAAGATGAGGGCTATTTTCACTTTAAATTTTGATTAATCATATTTTTAATGATGGTATTTATTTGCAATTTCAAAATCTGTTAATGTTATAAATCGTACTCACAAAAATCTTCGATTAATTAGATATTATTATAGCGAATTAGAAGTCATGAGAAATTTTTTTATTTTGTCTTATATAATTACCATTTAATAATAATCAAAGTTAAAATATCAACTTTTGTTATGAGTTCACTCTAGTACAAATAAACTGTATTAAAAATTATTAAACAGTTATTTTGTATTTGCATATTCAAATATATTGATAGAATTAATTGAAGAATTTATATATACTTTTAATAAAACAATAGCCCTCGTTTAGAAAGTATGAAAGGGAAAAATTATATACGTATGTTTGAAAACTGATGTATTTGAAGCTAATAATATTATACATTATTTCATTCTAGGTAGGATTCATTAGAAAAGTATTTTGTATCCTATTTGTTAATGCCTAAAACTTTGTTTCTTTAGTTTCCTTAAAACTTCTTTTTTCCTTTCATTACTAGTGGATCAATAAAGGCTAAGTTCTACTACTAAAGAGAAAGAAGAAGAATGAAAAAATTCTAATAATTCTATGAAATCTATATTTATGCATTTCAACAAGTGCCTTGAATACATTAAACAACAGCTTCAATAAATGGTTAACTACAATAATACAGTTTTTTAAAGGTTCAATATCCTCACTTCTATGTGGCTACCATTTGCTGCCTCTATATGTGTTTATTTTTGGTTTTATTTTATCCACATTTGATGTAGCTACAGGAATGGAATGCATTAATTAGTGCATCATTAACATAGATCGAGAATATAAAATCCATCTAAAATTGATTTAGCAACCTTCTTCAATTAATTAGAATTTATGAATCATAAATTATATAAAAAATTAATTTTCTGGTTCTTATCTATATCAAAATATTTAGGCCAAAGATTTTTTAAAATTAATGTTCATGTTCTAAGCAATATTATTCTTCTATTAACCAATCAGCAATCATGATACCTTGTAAACTATTTGTTACATTAATTCTAATCAAAGAGTAAAATTGAGAATTTTTAACTTTGATTATTTACTCAAATTATTTGAAGTTTACATAAATTAAATAGCAATAAATTGGTTATTACTTTATATTAGATGGTTCAATTTTTATTTTTTATTGAAAATACTAATATTGTGTTTAAATTTTTTAAACCTTGCTATCTTAATTAATAACTAGTTCATCAACTTTAATATGTTATTTTAAAATTTCAATTATCATTCTCGATAGTGTTTTTTTTTTATTATTGTTATAAATTAATTCTACTCGTTTATATTTACAACATATTAATGATTCTCCCAGATAATCATCAATATATAGAGTTTAAATATATATAAAGACTTTTTGTGAAGAATTTGAAATTTCAAATAACGATATAAATAGATAGTATTTTTTGGATCACAATAAGGTCTAATTCAAATTTCAATTTAATTTTAATTCATATATTTCACATTCAGCTATGTTTGGTTTATCCTATCCAAATAGATGCTTTGAATAGGCACCCTGATATTAATCCCATATATATCCATGACCTAAATTAGAATAGCCATCTTTAAAATTACTGTCTATCTTTATATCATGACCATCTCCAAATACAGGCCCCGATGAATTATTTGAGTATATTGCATAACAATTACCATTTGTTTTCATAGGATAGAATTAAAAATGTGTTTATGAAAATAAAAATGATTATTTTGAATTATCTTGAATATATTTGCCAGTATACTATATCCATTAACATGGAGAATATCCACCAAATATGTATCCGCTCTCAGATTAAAATATCATAAGAAGATTACTCTTTCCATCACACTTATTCCAAAATTAATCTTTATTCAATCCATCCCTAGTTCCTTAATAAATTAAGAGAGATTCATGGATTTTTTTTTTTGATTTTTCTTATAAATAAAAGGATAATCTAACCCAAAAATCATCTTATAATAATTTCGGTTTTAAATTTAATCCAAATTTATCAAACAGTGATTCATGTGTTTTTATTAAATCTTCCTTATCTATAATCTTTTAAGCTAATTGTTTGATCTCATTTTAATAGACTATTGATTGTTCTTAACACTAAGCATTCTTATTTTGTTCTACCTTCAATTTTTCAATTAATTCATCTACTATGTTTTATAAATTTATTTCTAACTCCTTGTCTAATTTATTGAATAATCTTTTTACTTTCTAATTGCAATTTTGTATAATCTTATTGTAAAGCCAATTTAGCACTCTCTAATTAATCTATTTCACAAAATTTCTTCAGATCCTTAAAATCCTTTTCGAAATTATTCAAATACAAAGTAAGTTGTTGTTGAATGTTTGAAAAATTTTCATGATCTGGAATTGATTATATTTTATTTTTAATAGAAATAACTTTGTTATTGTGCTATTAAAATTTTTCAATTGCGTAATTCAACAAATCCAACTAAGAATATATTTATTTAGAAGAACTTATTAATTCATCCAACTCTTGTTTTCTTATCTATTGTTATTATTCTACAATTGTACTCTATTAAATTAGTTTTGATAGTTAAAGAATTCCCTACAATTTGTTGTCAGCTAATAATAAACTATTCTTGATACTTGATTAATCATGCAAAATATTAATTGACTCTTAAATGTCTAATAAATCATTTTATTTTAATTGTTCTAATTAACTTTCTATTGAGTTTGTAAATTAAATGTCTTTAGTAATCATATACTCATTTTAAATATTATCATTATCTTATTGAATCAGATAATTAATAGTTTAATTCAATTCTTCATTACTTAATTATTGTATTGAAACTTATTTAAACTTACTAAGTTCACTTGTTTTGGTTATCGGTAAGGGAAAATTTGTTATTAATTGTTCACTGATGGAATTTATTTTTGAATTGTAATTCTCTCTCATTTACTAAATCTTTTTATTTAATTTCTCTTATTTTGATTACCTCTTTGACTTTAATTCTTCAACAAATTTAATTTAATTAATTTTCTTTTGATTCCATAATAAATTTATTTTTTCAATTGATTTTTATTTGCAATTAAAGCCTTCATCACCAACGCATTCTAAGCAAGCAAATCTCTCTTCTATTTATTTATTTTTTGATTCTAGGTCAATCAGAAGTATTTCTTTATTATGGGTTGGACAAAGTCTACTTAAACTTTATGCTTTCTGGATAATATAAATAATTACTTTATTATTTTCAAATTGCAGGGGCATTAATTTAATTTAATTACCTTCATTGAATTCCTATATTTTCTATTTAGCTTCCTTAAAAGTGATAATAGTTTATTAGTATGCGGTCTTATTAAAAATGAGCTCAAGTTCTCTGATTAAATCGTCAAAAGATTAGGTATCTTATTGAAATTCTATTTAGTTTTCATTTAATGAAAGAAATTCAGATAATGATTTAACATCCTCTTAAAAATTAGACGTAGTTTAAAATTTTCTCAATAAAGATTGCTTTTCTTCTAGAATACTAATTTATGTTTTTATTTGATCATAGATCTTAACTAAAGAATTACAAGCATTTATTTTAAACTCTGAATATTTTTCAAGCACTATTTTATATTATTAGAGCTTTATTTTGATTTCTCCAGCCTTTTTTTCTTATCTTAACGCCTAATATTCTTAAATTCTCGCTTATGTTTGTTCAATTGTTGATATTCTATTGTTATTCAATTTCTCAACTATACAGTCACAACAAAGGTATTTAATAGATCCATTTTCTGTTGAGTTTAGATCTATTGCAATTATCTCTCGGTTATGAATTTGACACATATTTTCACGAATCTCATTTTTTTAAGAAGACGAATTCATTTTTATTTGATTTTTATTATACAACATACATTTTCTTTCCTCTCCTTATAAACCCCTATAAAATTTGAATTCTATTATTATAAAATTATTATAAATAAACCTAATAAATGTAATTATTTTTTAATAGATTCTAAAATAGAAAATTGTTAATAATTATTTTTCTATCCTAACATTTAAAAGATATTAACATTTGTTTTCAGTTAAGCACTTGTAAAAATAGGAAGATTTTATAAAAAATATCGATTAACATCCGAATTGTGCTGGGTATATGATTCAGAATCTATTCTATCATTTTCAATAAATTTTATAAAATAATGAGTGCGAAAAACAACTCGTGATTTGAAATCCTCGCTTTTTTAATTTTATTTATATACTATATATTCAAAATAATAACATAATAAATAAAGGTTTTTGCTTTATAAGGATTTAAAAAGAACTTTTTAAATGATTAAGAAGGATATTTTGATTAGAATAAAAACTATTAATAATCAAATTTATAAATCTGGTCAATCTTAATCATTTAGTTCATCTTATTTACTATTTAATGATATGATTGGTGCCATTTAAACGATAATATTCTACTTTGCTTATAACCTCAGATTTAATTTTAGTATTAATTGTAAGTTCTTCCTTATAATCTTATATTTATGATATTCTTTAAATTACTCATGAGGTTTTTAGATAAGAGATAGTTTAAATATCAACTATTCATTAATTTTCTAGTGGTTTTGAGTAAACTCTCAATCTTCTGAGCAGATTAAGCGATTGCAATAAATTTGAACCTAAACAATATCCTCATACGATTATAAAAATTAAAGTGCGATGATAGTGGCTGCTTCTGGATTCATGTATGATTTGAGTCTTGTGCAAGTCTTTGGCATCAGCCAAGAATAGCCATCATTAAATGGTGAATTAAAATAACAATAATCACATTATTTAGGGGATTAGTATTCTATTTAATGACTAAGATTTGGGATTTTGATGAAGGAAAGATTATGATACAAGTCACTGCAGGATTAATCTTATCTTATTTATATAGACAGATAGTGGAGTCAAAAGACTTAAAATAGAGCCAATCAATATGAATGAATCTAAATGAAAAAAAAATCAGGTCGCGAAAATTATACATAATTATGCGAATGAAGGATAGTATATAGCTGTATAGTATTTCCATTCTGGATTTGATAAGCAAATAAATTAATATATAAGTTTATTTACAAGAGGCTTTAATTTCTATTGACCACTTAAAAATCAAAACTGTAATAATATCATCCTTCTTCGCTGGGAAGCCTATATAATCTTTTAAATTAGCAGATACCAATCTAAATTAGGTAGAGATTATCATGGAATGTAAAAATAAATTTAAGGAATAATTTTGATGCATTGGTTTTAAAGAATGCAATATTGATTCCAATTTAGTTATCCTCTCTGGAAATATTGAATTTTTAAAACATCTGTTATCTAATTAGGATAAAATAAAAGACAGCATTATTTACAAATCAACAACATATCCAACATCTACTATACTATTCAGATAATTTATAGTAAGTTGGTCCAGTTTCTTTTAATATTTTTAACAAGGCTGTTCAGCATGGATAAATATTTTTCACAAAATAAAGTATATTCTTAACTGCTTTATTTTAAATTTTATGGAAAATCAGAAACTAATGAAGATAAACAATATTAGACACAGATCAATTTATAATAGCTAACTGATGCATAACTTAAAACCAAAAAGGCAAGAAGTTGAATTTTAATGATAAATTAATCAGTAATTTCACAATTGGAAGAAAGAAGAGTTTATATCCGAGCAACAATTTTTTGCTTCCATCTTTAAAATAAAAAGATCTGATAGGATTTAAGGTTCCACTTAAAAAAAAAGAGAAAAGAAAATTAAATTAAATTAACTTTAAAGTTATTTGTAATCAGGTGGCCTAATGAGAAGTCCGAGGCCCTCTTGCCAAGGGTAACCATACCACTGCACCTTAGGAATAACCAAACTCCAGAAATATTCTCAATAAAAAGAAAATATTCATCAAATAACACAAGTCTTATGAGATTCTAAATTCTTAAGAATGGAGAATTAAATAATATACTCTTATACAATTTATCTGATAATTACTTAAAAATTTGAGTTCGACTGAAGAATAGAGAGCAATTAGAAATTACTTATTGTCTTTTTTGATTAAGCAAAAACGCAAAAGTCAGATAAAATTTAATTATAATTTAATAGATTATATCATAATTAGTTCTTTTATTTGCAAACACTGAATAATACTGTAGAAAACATAAAATAATTATCAAGAATTTGTCTCCTTAGAAGTAACTTTATGTTTTTGAATATTAAATTATGAATTATTGCTTAGAAATCATTCTGAAGTAGTAATAACTAGCTCTATTCATCATTTAATTGAATATCATCAAATCAATGCTTTATGAATATTTTAAGAAATTGTGCTCTTTTAGTGTGTGAACTTTTAGAATTAAGATCTATTCAAAAATGTTTGAAACTAATCATGAGTTTCTTAAATTCATAATTCCTATATTAACTTTCATATTTAATATTTCCCAAAATTGTTGAAAAATTAACTATGGAAAACACATGTAAGAAATGCCTGAAAATTCTGAATCTTAAGTTTTATAATTTCAGTTGTTCAAATCTTTAAGGTAAAACTGCTTTTTAAGTTTGTAGAGAAAGACTCTTGCTTTGCTTCGAAAGGGTATTTGATATGGTGTTAAATTGATTACAATAACTAGATGTGAATAGAGCTGGCAGTGTTGATGATGATCTATCGCTTTAGTTTCTCATGATTTTTGACTGACACAGCTTAGACAGAAAAATAGATTATATGTAAAGCATTATAATCATTGAGTTTCCATATATAATAATTTCTTTTTGTCAATAAATAAAACCTGTTAAATGAAATTAAGAATTAATATCAATCTAAATTACTTAGATCAATTTAATATTATTATAAACTTAAAATAAGAATTTTCAAGGATTGGATTACATTTTTAAATTATTCTGCGTTGTATTCCAACTCAAGAATCTTCTTACAAAAAAACTAAAACTTAAAGGTTGAACTTTAGTTTCATTTGCTCAATAAACAGTATCGCTAAAATATATTATATTAATAATAAATAAAGTTATATATTGTACTTAAGGATTTTCTTTTTTATATTTTTAATAGAAACAATTAAATACATTTTATATTTGAATACTTCTTCTAATTCAGCATCTTTAACAATTAAGAATCACATCACAACCTTACATACCTTAGAAAAATCATTAATTTATACAGCATTTAGAATCGTATCTACATAGTATAAACGATTAGCCAAAATATCCTTTTGAAAATTTAGTACCTTTTATCATTAATAATGAATTGATATAATTTTAAAGTTAATTAGAAAATAATACGAAGTTCAAAATCAGAAATAAAACGTTTTTATAAAGATGAAGAAGAAAAGATAATGGGCATAGATCAACTAAAAAGGCTGTCGATAAACGGCATAATTTTGCTCAAGACCTTCAGATTTTTTAGGGGGTTTAATTAGTTTTCTGAATTATGATATCTTGTGCAAATAAATAAGAAAATGGATTAATTTGCTATATTAATAAATAACATCACTGCATTTAGTATTATTAAATTGATCGTGTACAATTAAAGATACATAGTCACTGAAATAATTTATCTTGAAATAGAGTCTCAATAATAAATTAATTTGATAATATATTGGAACTTAAAGTGGGCAGATTTAAAGAGAAAATCAGAAGAGTATCCAATTAATGTATAGATATTCAGCATGCAATTCATCAAAACTCTTGTTAGGATTCCAATGAAAAACTTGTTATGATAATTGTTGCAGGTAATTAATTTCTTGCTTTCGATAAAAATTTATATAATATTTTGGAATTTTTAAAGATACTTAATAGTATCAGCTGAAATTTTGGATTCAAAAATCATACTGTCGAGTTGAAGAGTGCAAGGATCTCATATTCATACTCATTTTTCATAATTAAGCCTGACTCATATTATGTTAATGTCAAAAATTATATTCTTAATGAATCATGCTCATTTTACTTCTCATATGATCTTTATTAGAATGCAGAAACCATTGATAATTCTTAATCTGCAAAAAAAATTTAAATCAATGCAAGCTATTCTGCTTAAGTAGGAAGATGAAACAATCTGTATTTATTGAATAATTGCAATTTTCATTTATGTCACTATTGTGAGTAACAGAGATATAAAATCAAAATATTACTCTCAGGTCATCATTTGTTACATAAAGACAGCTGAGATTCATAGATGGGATCCATAAAGAGCTAATGTATTTCATGTGAAAATCTGTTCTATTACAATTTATAATGAGAATATAATTGAGCTATTTAAGGAAAATTAAATTATATGAACAATATGTTTTACTTAAATGATATGTTTATTAGTATGAAAATTAAATGGTTATTCTATAACAATAAAAACCATATATTCTTTTAATTTATTGATAATTAACAATATAATTTCAAAAGTACCATCTTTTACTTATGTTGCTCAATATATTTGTACAAAATTTTTTCAAATCCCCTTAATCCATAGTAGATTCCAAGGACTACAAGTTCATAGATAGTGTGATCAAAATTTAGGACAAGCTTTTAAATTAATACCTAAAGTTAGATTGTTTTGCCTTATCGCATTAGAAACATTTATCCTTAATAAATTATCCTGAACAATTCTTTAGGTGATTTTCACAAAAGACATCACCATATTCACTGAGATACAAAACACTTCCACATAAACAATACCAAACTACTGGTTTTGAGGATTAACATACACATTCCTTAGGGCATGAAAATGTCAAAGGTATAACAATTCCCTTATTGACTCCTCCCTTTGGTAAGTAGTCAATCGACATAATCAATAAAATAAATGATAAAAAGCGGATTAACTTTAGATAAATATAAAACTATATTCTATTAAAAATATTAACTTAGAATT